GATATGTCCTCGGTTGAAGTTGGGGATTTATGGGAGTTGCTGTATTCGTTACGTACGATGCTGGTCTGCTTCGTGGGGAGCTTTTCTCTTCCCACTACTTTTCTTTTTGTCTTTGTTTCTCCTGGGTGGAGGGCATTTATATGAGGCGTCAAGTTTGGGCTTGTTTGTGATTGGAGGGTTTTTGTGATTCTGCTTACTTGAGTATCATACCGGAATTGCATGTATGGGGGAGTGCGGGGGGTGGGAGTGGGTTAGGGATTGAGGGTGGGGTTTGAAGTGGGGTTTGGTGGCAATTAGTGAAGGTGTTTTGTGCCTTGATTGAGGTAACATGCGCCTCCTGGGGGATTTTTTGGGAGGATGATGCTAAAGATATGATACTAGAATGATACTGGAGAGCCGTTAGTGTACCGATGGTATGGTGGTTTGCAGCTACAGTGCAAGCATAATAGCAACGTATGTTGGAGGAGCCATCGCGTAAGTTTAGTTGGGAAGTTTCAGTCTTTAATGATACTAGGGCCGGTGTGCCTCTCAGTAGTATTACTGTGTGAGCACCTTCAAGATCATTGGTCTATGATCTTATACCAGCCATCATTATAATATTGGCCGGCGATGGCCAAATGAGTCCCCAGTTCTCTAGCGTCGCATACCAAGAGTATATGTCTTTGACAGTTTGGAGTTGGGGGACTTATTGCACGGCACGATTTCTGAGAAATCAATTGAGGTTTCCCCCAAAAAACGACAGGTTTGGTTGACTCCCTCTCCCTTTGAGCCGATTGGTTGGCAATTTGGTGCCCTGACATTCAAGAATGATATTGGTAGGCTTAGGGCCACCTGGATAGACTTCTCCCAATAAATCCGGTCATCTGTGTCCCCTAGTCCTGGGAACTTTTATTGTTGACTAAATTATCCCAGGTAACAAATACTTATCCTGTTTAGATCACTTCAAAATGCACCTGTAGGTTTATCCTGATGCTGCTATCATAACCGGTCACTCGGCGGATTTGGTGCAAGTTCACCTTGTAAAAAGGAACCTCTCCATTCTTTTTATTTTCTTTCTTAACTGGTATTGATCCTTTCGACCCTATCGGCTTACTTCCAGTCGCGCCGCACACGAATGGGATGCGACATATCATAAGTGAAGGCTTATTGGGATACGGTACCCCATAGATATAATTGCACGCCGTGGGAGAGACAGCAATCGATTCGAGCGGAGGACCACTAGTGCTCACTCCACAAGGCTTAGAAGACCGCATCGCAAAAATTGGCCTGCGCATACCCGATAATACTGTATTATCAAGGGCACCAATCAACCTCAATATTAATACCACTGAAGCTTGGCTTAATTGGCGATGGTGCGCCCACTGCTTGGGTCCGCTTGCACGTAGATAGCGAAGTGAGGGAGCACTAGGTTGGGTTGTACGGGTATTAAGATTTGTTTGGATTCGGAAAATGACTACTATTTGGTCTACCGGTATTGAACTTGGGTAACATGATCCAGAATACCTGATGTCTCAGTAATGACGAATTTGAATCCAACCGTGTTACATTGAGTGATAATTATAGCTTAGCGTGCGCGACGGGGAAGTTGGCCGCTTGCAACCACCAGAGATTTCGGCCTACAGGAGAATCAATTTTCTCAACCGTGATACTCCACAACGACAATGAGAAGGAGTAAGGATAAAACATTTGGGGTCCTACTGGTGCTCAAAAGATTGATCCATGGAGATGGAACTCCTGAAACTGCTGTCTCTCAATCCACCAAGTGGTGTTTGGGTTACTATATCTGAAGGCGTCACAAAATTTACTCTTTTTTATCAACCTCTGTACCCTAGAAGTTGGGCTGTTCTCCTGTATCTTGAGAATACCGGTATGTATCTCAATTAGTAAATCTGTTGGTTTGGTATTTCAGCCTTGGGGGTTGGCTTTGCTCTATCTGTCTCTTTCACAGTAGGGGGGGGGTGCATTTTTGAATCACATGCCATCTCACTGATACCATTGCTGAAGAGGCCCTTGGAAACTCAGGATATGAAGTATTCCTCTCTTACAGGAAAATCTCCAGGTCTCAAGGGAATGAGTTGTAGATATCACCAAATTTACCAAGTCTTGGCGCAAGATTTATATTCGACAATCAAGTGGGGGTAGCAACCTCCTCTTGGTGGGCTGCAATTACTTAGCTACAGAGTTATTGTCTATAGGGGCTTATTGCCTGGTATTATGCTCATTTCTGGGCTTTCTGTCTTTGTTTTTTTTTTTTTTTTTTTGGGTAACTTACCTGCTGGTTGGGAGATGGGTAGGTTAAACTTCCTATTTTCTGTGTAGATGGTGGCCAACTTCCCCGCCCAATACGTTAGGCTCTTGCCGCTCAAGATTGAAGAGCATTTTTCTTTTCGTTTCTTTTTTCGTTTATCATATATATGCTCGTCGTCACAAGGGCTTCCATGCTATTATGAGCAGCAGACTGAATATACCTTTTGAGTGTTACCGAGTACTACTCCAGGAGCCGGTGCCCGGATGAACCTGTTTAACTGGTGTTTAATGCGGTGGCGCGATAGCTCGTGAAGTACCGGGAAATATGTGCTCCGTTACTATTCCAAGCGCACGACGCGCAATGCGGATACTTACATAACGAACTAGCCCCTAACATTTATGGGTATGCAGTACTCCCGGAAGGCAACCTTTCGTCAGGGGGAACTCCCAAGCAGCCTAATGAATGATTGGAGCCGTACGCGAGAACAAAGTTTCCCAGGAGGGAGGAGTGTTTCTCCGCAAGACACTTTTCCGGTTTCAGTTTCTTGGCCCTCTTTTGGCGTTGCTGTTGTTTTCGTACCGGTGGATTTGTATTCACATCTGGTGTTGGGTTTCGGGAGAACAGCCTTCATGCGGATGAATCTTTTGAATGGCGTATGATTTTTTCATTAGGTGGGAGGGGGGGGTTCCGTGAAGTCAAGTACGGACCATACCTTGCGAAACATGTATCTTCAGGAAACTCGCTAGCTCTTCCCCCAAGAGTTAGTAGCGGGCCTACTTAGGAAGTATATGTGGTTTAGATATGCCCACACTTTCGCTTGCGTATCCCAAAGTCCCACCTGCTCAGTGGGAAAAGGTGGGGAAAAGAAATCCAACCGCCCTCGCCATTTGTGAAAAGCGAGTGATAATCTGTGCAAACAACCAGCAAAATGATGCCAAGAAATCGTTTGCGATCACCCCGTGATAGCCTAGACGGCTGATTGCCTTGCCTTATCTATGAGTTGCAGGGTGCTACTATGGGGTCGTAGTAAGATTCGGGAAGGCACAACTGGTATGCTATCGGAATAGTTGTGACAGGGACGGGATACGTCCTCGAAGACGGTCTGTGTGCCAAACGAAGATTACGAGAGAGTAGTGCAGAGTGGTGTGTTTCCAACTGGAGATTCACTCCGCTTGCCCTTTTATGGGGCACTCTAGCGAGGTGGTTCACGGTCATGGCCGTGAATACGGGCACTTTGGTACTATGAATCACTTGGAAGGTTGACCAGCATGTGTTCTAATGTTAGTGACATATCGTGAATGGCTTTAGGGCTTGAACGTCTTTTTCCCTCTGAGGAAAGAGGAGGCGTCTGATATTCGCACGTGTGGTGAGTGTAAGCCACCGGTCTCCTTATCCTCACATTATCTGCACCGGTGACGGTTCGTGAGAATTGAATGTGATCCACGTCGGATAGTTCGCCGGGGGAAAAATGCATGTGTGGCGATTGGGATGTGGTGAGAACGTATCATTATTCGCTTGAGTAGGGGAGTGAGGAAAGCTGTGGCGTTTTGTTGCTGTAAAGAGGGCAGGATATAACTGGTCGTATTGGGGTACTAGGGGGACCAAATTTGGCCAAAGGTGGTCATGCTTGGGCCACCGGAGCAGCTGTCGTTGGAGGCGGGGCGGTTGTGGTCGCATTTTAGATGCCGGTTGCCGTCGGAAGCTACGGTACAGTACTCGAGTACGAGTACTCTGCGGTAGGAGGGTGGAGATTCTATTTTTCCGTTGGATGATTGAACTGTTTTGCCTAAGACATCAAGCCATTCTGTGCTTTTTATGCAAGTATGATACGTTTGTGGCTTCTGTAAATGCGGTATCGTATGCATTGGTGTTAGGGTATCGGAGGCTTGGTCCGGCTGCATGGAATAATATTGGCCCGGCTTTAGCTTTGCAAAGGCTTGAAGTAGAAGAACTCGGATTATTGGGGTCGGTCTGCCCCACCACATTAGGCTCGCCCAGAAATTAGCTGCGGTTTCTTTCATCTGGAGATTAGATGGCAGTTAGGGGAAATTACAATTCTCCGGCTCCGAAGTTTGGGGGGTTCCAACGATGATGCTCCAAGGTCAACGATGCCGGTAGGATTTGCAAAGCGGGAGCGAGAGGATTTATCGAAGGGCATTTCAATATCAGATTATGGTGGAAGAGGACTTTTCCTTGTCGCATAGTACCAAATTTTTCCTGATGTCCTGATGAAACCATTCGGGCGCAGTAATAGCTTTTACCGGTAGTCGGAATTATCGATGAACAAATTTTTAGTGGGCCGCTAATATTCATCAGCATCCTACCGTATCATACTGTTCGCTGTCGTACCGCATTATCTGATAACGTTCACCTGCAGCAGTGATAATGCCGTACGTTGAAATAAAGTAAGAACTGAAGCAAAGAGCCCGGTCTAGTCGAGGGGAGTCCAGAGTAGGCCTGGTTTCTGCCCATAAAGGGTTAAGTGAGGGTCTTTTGTTGCAGGTTTGAGACGGATTACGGGGAAAACTGCTATACTCGAGTATTGGCGGACTAGCGGCAGGCGAATATCCCCAGATGATGGGGTAATCGAATTTCTTCCAGAAGACCTCATTCTATCATTTCACCGGGCGTCCTGGCGTTCTAGAACCGCGTTGTTAGCAATGGCTTATAGTTCATGGAGGTGGTGTGTTGAAATTTATTACCGGTATCGTGTTGATGGTACAAGTACAATAGGGTGGCTTGCTAGAATTTTGTACAGGGCAAGAGAAAAAGGATCGTACAGTATCATATCATACTCGGGCATGATATAATTATTTGGAAATCCTTAATAGGCGCTAAAGCAGGGCGCCTTAAACTGCTCCTAACAAACTATAGAACCCTTAAATTGATCCGGGATCTCATTAGGGGACGGTACATCGCTCTTGGGTTGGCACCTACCCTGCTTCGGCACCGTACTGACTGTAGCTAAATTATTATCATACCATAGCATGCGAGGCTTTATCCCGGCTCAGCATCGGCACTCACTCAGCATTCATACCAATTGCGCTGCTATCCTCTAACCAGCCCCCTCAAGAAGGATATTTTCTGTGAGGATAATAAGTATGAGGGAGAAGGCCATCCTACCATCTTGTGCTTCATAAATGCCCTCGGCCTTGACAGCACTCGGCATCAGGCCGACAAAGCTACCGAAAGAACAATTGCATGTTTCAATAGGACACCACCTTGGGGTTAGCGAGGGGTACCCCGGGAGGCGCCAAATGCCCTGCACTGGAGCCATTATCTGTTATTAGCGACCAACTATGCCGTGCAACCACCTCCCTCACACCCAAGAAGTGCCGTCGCTCAGAAGGCCAAAGAAAAAAAGATGCAAATCTTTCCACAGAGGCCAGAGAAGCTTTGCTCATAGGGCGATAGGGTATTTCCCGACCACCCGCGAGGAGCCGGTTCCCGGTAACATAGTTTTGGTGACTTGTTCCCCCTCTCCCAGTGCCAGCCGAGTAATGCATCAATTGGTTGGAACTGCTTTGCTTCATGCCGGTAAGCACTGTCTGCACGAGTAAAGCACGGCTGAGCAAAGTCTCACCACGTTTTTTTCCTGTCATGTCTTATCCTGCCAGTGTCCTGGCTTGTCGAGCCCACGAAAAGAGAAGTTCCATCGACACATTTTTCTTTTCTTTCCTTGCGCTCGTCATCATCATGTCTTGTCATCGTCGTTGCTTTTGAATTTCGGCACTCGCTGATCGATCGGTCATTCAAAAGCGCCCTGCTCCGCATTCTCCTGCTCGGATTTAGGGTTAAGATCACTTTACCATTCCACCTTTCCTCCGAAGTTATAGGAGCTTTGTTGGGACAACGTTCTGAGGAGAAGAACGAGAGAACTCACCCCAATGTCGATGTCGGCAACGACCACCGCGCCCGTTCCGACGGAGACGTCTTTCCTGACGGAGGAGCGGATTCTGCTGATGGTGGGGGAGCTCTCCGACCGATCCCGAGCCTAGCCTACGGACGATAGATAGCTTGCTGACTTGAGGAAAAATCGTCAGAATAATATGAGTGCAATTCTCGCCGGCGTATCGTTATTATTCTGTCTCGCTGTTCTTGTTGTCGTTGCAGTTCTGTTCTCAGATCCACTCTCGAGGAAAGCTTTGGACCGTCTTTCTTTCCGATTACTGACATATGCCTTGATATCGAAGTATGTTGCATCTGACTGTTTGCATTCGTAATGGAACTGATTCCCCTCCCTTCGAGATAGTTGCATTTACAGTATTGGATACATTATTTGCGTCAAAGTTAGCCCGGGGGTGAGTCCTGGTTTATTTTCATTTTTTCACGTACCCGAGGGTTTTTTTTTTATCCAACTGTTCTGAACAACTACTGACGGCCTTCTAGTTTTGGTGTAGTGAGTTAGGCCTAATTGTTGGAGATAAGGTTTTTAGTGGAGGTCGCACGCTAAGGCAACTACTATCTAGCTGCTGGAGTATGGCTGATTCAATTCTGGCTCGGTAAGTAGTTCCATAGACTTTAGTGCAAAGAAAAATAAAAGAGGGTGAGAATTTACTGACGAATTTCCACCAAATTAGGAGTAACGAATTGGTTAATTCTGTGCATCGCCGTGAATCTACAAGTCGTGCTCGTCCACTCAATGAATAGCTTGATTTTGGAAAAATACTACATCATCGGAACGATATGTCTTAACCTCGTGATCACGCTGCCCCCTCGTGAGCCACCATCTACCGACCTTCGCCGCTACGGGGAGCTAACGGCTGTTAGTGATTAAGGGGAAATTTGGCTGGGACCCAGTCATCGATGTCTGCTGGTTAACCTCGAAAGATCCCGATGACCGCCTCATGTGGCAGATCAGCACACAGCTCTTCTGGATTCTGCTAGCTGTGGTAATCACCACAGTATCAGCGCTGATCACCATGGGGTACCTGTATAAACATAAGGTAACTTGTTTTGTGTACTTCACCCCGGTCATCACAGAAGGCCACTCATGGCGTTTAGTTCGTTTCGGAGAAAGCTCTGCAGGAAACGAAGGAGGATAGGCAATTGCGTCCTCATACTCCAACGGCTTCCCTTCCGAGGTTGGATGCTCATGGGAAGCCGATGATTGATGATAGGATGCATATCCGGAGGAGCGCCACGAGATTTGCTAGTCAGACATTGTCTGCGACTAGTAGGTTTCGGAGTGTTATTTTGAGAATATGTAAGGCTCTTCTATAGTGGAGGCGGGTGTTTTCCTAGTTTGAGCTAATGGGGGAGAACAGCGCTATATCCAATTGTCATGGTGGTTTTGAATCTCGTGATCACGATTGCGGATATCAGGATTAGTACTGCAAGTGGGATATATTCCCAACGGGATTATAGTTTATGTGGGAACCCACCAGCGCCAATTCTAGCGGACCTATACTGACCCTCTCCTAGATGTCATTTACTATGCTCTCTATGGTGGTGAGCGAGGCTCCTTCCTGGTGGCGTGCCCTGCTGTCGGAGCTCCAACTGACTCTGGAAATTTAGCTCGTGGAATTTTCTACGCAGTAATAGCAATAATCGATCCGTCCATCATCCGCGGAATCCGGGTCTGGCGCGGCCTGCACTCAACGACCTCGTCATCGATATCCGACGACAACTACGACTTCACAGTAGGCGGCGGCATAATCAACGTCCAGACGGAAATAATCCGATTCGTAGAAGAACTAGGCATCTACGAGGCAGAGGGAAAACCCAGTCCCTCCTCACCGCTGGCACCGCTCACACCGGCCGTAACACGCCCGGGGCGATTTGACGTGCCGTCGCGGGGGGTAGAGACAAACGTGGAGGGCGGACCGGACCTGGAATTGCCGCCGCCGCTACGGCATCGACAGCAGGAGGAGGATCTGGGTGAGCGATTGGCGGGGGTCGGAGAAAGGGGGGGTTCTTCCACAGTGGCTGCGGACGAGGATAGAGTCGTGGAGGAGGATAGAGTTGCCGAGGAGACGCGGCGACGACAGAAACGGGCCTGCATGACCAGACAGGAGGCAGAGAAACTTGTCAAGAGGCGGATTTAGACATGCTGGTCGTGTTGTACGATACCATTATGATGTACTATAATAGATAAATAGGTTTCATGGCTTCCGATTTTTTGAATAATGTCTGTTGTGGATTTGTTTCCGAGAAATATATAGCGATGGGAGAAACGTGCTCTTGGACGGTTTCTTCCTCTATACTTTATTTTTTTTTAAACTTTCCTATTAGACTAATACTGTGCGGTAGGCTCACCGGATTCGATCCGCTGCCGATTCTGTCCGAATTAACTCTGTTTGTGATGGAGCTTCGTATTGTCACTATTGTTCGAGTGCATCTCTCTTCCTGCTTACTTAATCCTTTTCCATGACCCGCAATCGACGTAGGCGGCGCTAAAGTAATGTCCCGCATTCCCGACAAGGCAAGTTGAACCCGAATTTCCTCCCTTTTCCGTAGCAGGAAGCGCAAAAGCCCCAAACAAGGCTTCTCAAGCAAGCAGTTATGCGGGGGGGGTTGTGACATCTCATGGCATTCAAATCCTGGCATACCGGTATGATACTCTAACTGTGCCGTGCATTGTATTGGAGAGGCTACGGTATCCCGTTTGGGCCACATGTGCCTGGGCGGCGGCGTGGCTGCAACTTTTGAACAGCAAGTAAGTAAGCTTACTTGGTGATAGACTACCGGTATTGTGGGGTTTATGGTATCATATGGCTGACTTTGAGGCTTAGTTCTACTTATCATTAGGGCTGATGTGGGGGGGGGGGGGGGTGGGAGGCTCATCGGGGCTCGGTTGTTGAGGTGAAAAACAAAGGGGGCGATATTATGGACGGAGGCAGTGCGATTATTGAGGGTGATGTGGAGAAAGGAGGTACCGCAAAAACTCAGTAAATCCACTAACGGGGGATCAAGGGCTTATCTCAGTTGTAGGGGTAAATAGGATCCAGCCAAGACACCAAGTGACCGGTTGTGACCCCAAAATAAAAAAGTTCATGCAGACTGTATCAAGTTGCAACTGTGACAGTATCAGTTTCATATGTGACAGTCTACAGAACACATAAGATAGATAGTTGGATAGTTAGTTAGATGTAGAGAAAGAGAGAGAAAGAGAGAAAGTAGTCACCAATCAAGCAACTACATTACTGATTTGAAGGTTAAAGAAATAATATGAACCAAAAGTAAAGCATAACTGTGGAAAAAAAATTCAGTTCAGAAGTATTGAAATCTATACAATATTCAGAAAGAATGCACAGTCAAAGTCAAAAGCTTAGAGTACTCATATTTCTCAAGTATCATTGAATCCCTCTACTCTCATGGCTAGTAGAGTACCAGTATTCCACATGGCAAGAAGTAGTAGATTTGTATCAATTACCTTAATGAATAATTAATAATTGAATATGGAAGAAGAGTGAGAAAGATGAAATTAGAAGAGACTTATCAATAAAGAAAGAGAAGGGTTTAGAATATAATTAACAGGTACTATCATAGCATAATAGTCAGAATTAGAAGATTAGCAATATTAAGATTGCATAGTAAGATGAGAGAGAGACAGAAAGGAGTATGTAGTAAGGATGATTTCAAATTCCGTTACAAGTCCAATTTTATAAGATCTATGAGAAATGAATCTGATGACCCTCTAATTCAGTAATACTATAGAACCTACAGTTTGTATAATTTGTACTAAGCTTGGGCCTTCTGAGATTCAAAATATTATGGACTGAATACTATAATAATATTATATACAAGTTCAGGTTGTACTTGTTCCTTATAAAGGTCATCCTTGTATTTAGGAGGCCTTTTCTTTTTACAATTTATCACTTACTAGTATTATCTCTGAAGGTTTATTTTAATCATATGCTCTACTTAATTTCAAGTTTATTATTATAGCTTTATTGTTTTTAAGTCATCTGAGAATAACGTCTTATAGTAGCCAAGCCAATAAATAGAGACTTTTGTTATTTCAGTTCAGACATTTTACCCCCCCCCCTCTGAGAGCACCCGGGGAATAGAAATAAAAATTATAGAATCATTAACCACGTTCATGAAAGCTCTGAGATGATATTCCAAGGTGGTGGTACTACCCCTCCATCACATTGCCTTCTTTAAGACCATAGCCGAATTCCTAGTAACCACTCCTCTTTACAAAGACTTGATCATTGTTTTTCCACAGTTGAGTGGACTTTTCGCTTTTGACACTCAGTCCACTAGTTTTATTTATTTATTTATTTCTTGTCAATACACTCTACCTACTTTCTACAGTTGAAGAGAAAGGAATGGACGGGAGTCGGGGGATAGTAGGTGAATATGGAAGACCATATCAGCCTTTATCCTTGAACCGGGGACTTGAACCCCACATGGACATAAGACATTACACGCTATCGATTCTGCTCCCTGAATACGTGCAAAACCTGGCGCCACCACCGATAAATCGAAAATACTTCAATGAATCCCTTGGGGGCGCGCCGAGAGTAAAGCCTTATGTATGGGGAGCCTGAGTTGAGGAAATCCCCAACTGCTGGGCAGCCGGAGACACAAGGTCGGGGGGGGGAAAGAGGAACGGGAGATATATATGATATCTTCTCATTTATATCCCCTTAGAAACTCCATGGAACTGCAAGAGCCAGGAAAACAAGGCGCCGGTAGATCAAGGGGAGAAACCCCCGGGAAGCAGTACCCGAAGGATTCACTCACGTCTCTCTCCACTAAAACTCTGGAAACTAGTTAAACCAAGCACGAGAACTTTTCACTGTTCTCTGGAGACAATCATATATACCACATGACACCGAGAGACACCATGTCAAGCCTACTATCCTATGGTATCACAGATCGAGCCAAATATTGGCTTGAACAAACACCTACTCCCAGCTATAAACAGCCCTATGATACAATGGCCTTTCGGAGGATGTGCTACTGCCAAACGCTAACCCACAATAATTGTTCGGAAGCTTTTTCCAGACCCCAAGCCAGGAAAAAAAAAAATGCCGTATCGATCGTATGATAGACCCCTCCAGCCGGACATAATAGTAAGCCGATGGAGAATACGGCAAGGCAAATATTTCCGTTAAAGGGAGTCCTCTCCAAGAAATTCCTTGGGGGGTATTTTCAATACGAAGATGTGTGCTGCTTGCGTTGAGGTTGTAGAGAGACTGCAGTACCACTAACTGTACAGTACATGCAAGGATGTCCTCTACAGATCTGTGCTCGGTAGGATATGAGATAGGGCGTTGGGGTATAATGACGTCCCCCCCCCCCATTCGTGAATGGCGATAGCACTGCTCGTATCATACTGCGATTGTCGAACCTTGCTAGTGTGTTCTGGCAAAGAATCTGGTCCTGCACGAGTGATGTTCCATGGTTTTAGGGGTTCCCCCATCACAAGCGCCAGAGGGAACCGGCGGGTGGAAAGGAAGGGGAAGAAAATAAAAAGCACTGGAAAAAAAATCGAGACTGATAGTGACTCTACGTTGGCTGACGAACTTCGAAATAAAACCGGAGATACACATTTCTTAAACCGCGAATGCCCAGGGCGGCTCAGTTACGGATGATGGCCCATGGTTTACCGCGCGGTTTTTGCGCCAACCGTGGGGGTTCCACCTTATCTCGGTATCACTAGGTATCATACATAGCAGGCCAGGGGAGTTTGGTACTTCAATGTGGGAGGAAACTCTAGTAAAGTACTACGAGTACTGTCTGATAGGATCTAGCTTATGAGAGTCAATCTCAACTGTCACAAGAAAACTTCAAAGGGTCAGCTCGGAGTAGATAATTGTAAATTTATAAATGCTACATTTGATAACTGCTGCCCGTGCAACTCGTATGTTAACCTACCCAGTTACAATTAAACCTCCGGCAAACTCCCAAATAGCCCATATAACCCTCATAAAATCCGATCAAGCAGGAAAAGATCTATATACAAAAATATACACCCCCCAAATAGAAAAAAGAGTGAAAAGACCGTGACACATAAGACTTTCGTTTTTTCAATCTAAAAACATCGCCTACCAACCGCCTCTTCTACAGAATTTCACTCTAATAGCCTCCCCTCCATGGACCCTCACTACACCTAGACGTAATTTGATCTTCTCCGCAAAGCCACGGACATTTGCAGTTTCACTGCGACCTCCAGCAACACCGCTACCGTCTACGTCTGTGCGCATCTCCGGCTCGAGGCCGAGGAAAAGGGCCGCGATTTGGCTGTGGCCTAGCCAGCCAACCATCGCGTCCCTGGAGTAACATTTGATTGTAACGCTAACGACGAAAATGAGGGCTAGTAGCGTCATTGAGGCTGGCCAAGCAATCCACCTCCAGTGAACCCTGACATGGTTGACTTGAATTTTAACCTGGCCCTTAACAGATTCTTTGCTATCGCTCCGAATGGCATGACTCATTGAGAGCGCCATTTCGGACATGATTGTCGAAAAGTCTTTGTTTAGGAGGTTCTCGTAAAGTCCTCTATGGAATTCGCTGATTTGGTCTCCCGAGGATGGTGTGCCGGTGATAACTGAGGCAGCGCCAGTGAGGGAAAGAGTGAGCCCTTCACCCATGGCGAACAGGGCGGCGGTGGATACATTAGTTTTCTTGTCTTGAGCAACAGCAAATGGTGCATTGAGAAGTGTATCGTTGATGTTTTCAAGATTTGGGATCGGGAGCAAGTAGGCGGGGACTTGAGATGCTGAGATTGAGGTTTCTAAATATTTGCCATTGACGACAGACGCGCGGAAAGTCTGCTGGCAGAATGAGACACCACAAGAGAAAGCACGGGCAACGTGAGAGCCGCCGGCTGGGACGAAGCCTGGCGCAACGGGAAGCGATTGTGTTGATTTTGATGCCTCGTCTGGCTGGATGTAGAGGGCAGTCATCTCAATACGCCTAGAAGGTATGGAGACTGTGCTATTATCCTTAGTAGACTTTCCTGAATTGGCACGAATATCGATGAATGTTTGACCACCGCCGACCGACGCATTATTGAAGGTATAAGTGCATAACCGGCCTGACGTGAAACACTGCTTGCCGCGGCAGAAGGACTGCTGGGCGCTCAAATCTGTACAGTTTCGGTCGATTTGGGCAGTGATGTCTGTGCAAACTTGGCACACACCAACCGATACCGTTTCAGGATATTCACAGTTCCCTGAAGGACAATCCCACGACGGTTGAATCGGAGCCCCAAAGACGCTGGATTGTGCTCCCCAAAGAAGAGCACGAGGGACAGCAAGGATTAGACCGTTATCGAAGCCACGGACAGGGCTGTAATTAGTGTTGCTAGAGACAGTCGCTGTTTGTGTTGTGTCTACGACCGAGCGTGGTTCATAAGATACGAGTTGCTGGACAGCTGGATCAAAGCCGATGGATGCAAGGACAAACGCAGCACCCAGATGGACAAGAAACCTGAAACAAGGAAGTAAAAAAAATATTAGTACTCGTCTCAAAAAACTTGATGGAAATACGGATTTACCCTCCGCGAAACCTGAGCAACCAGTTCAGTGCGCCCAACGGGTCTCTTGAGGCCCCGTCAATCAAGTCCAGGTCCGAGAGTTTCCTCCTCTCTTTCCCGAAAAGGATCCACTTCATCTGACCAATACATTCCGCAACAACCATCATCAAAGGAAGTTTCCCGAAAACCCCCAACCACGACAAGGCCGAGTTTATCGTGACAGTCTTCCAGTCCGGAGCTGGTTTATTTTCGTACCTTCGTAATAGTAGAACCATGACCACAATCATCATACCGCTCAAACACAAGGCAGCTACATGATTCAACAAGTAGCGGATTCTGAAACGCGTCCTGGGCTGAGGGGGCGGAGGGGCACGATGGGAGCGAGGGGAATCTTCCATTTGATACGACGGCGGGTCAGAATCAGCGACATCTTTGGAAGGTTGTCGACGAAAGTTGGGGAAAAAGCGAACACTGATGTTTAGAGATCTAAAGGGCTGTACCATTGTTGGTAGTGGAGCCGGATTCGGGTGGTGAAGGACAGGGCCAACGCGGGGATAATAGGGAATGGGGAGGGCAAATTAGGGTATGAACTCTCCGGGAGATTGATATAATAGAGTACGACAGCTAGGTATCGCGGGGTGGTTGGATCCTGCAAAGCCCAAGCAATAAAAAAAAATAGAGAAAATGGAAGAAAAGGGGGAGGGGGAGGAAAGGACGAGGGCAGAGGGGAAGAGAAGAAACGGGGAGGGGAAATAAAATGAAATAAAATGAAAAGGAAGGGGAAGAAAGGCTTTGAGGAGAAGAAGACCAAAGGCGGAAGTTGTGGAGGAGAAGGCAAAGATGGGGAGGGGGATGAGGGATGAGGATGAGGGATGAGGGAGGAATCCAGGTCAACAAACCCAAGATGGCATTGAAAAGCTGGGATGATGATTGGACGCGGCAGAAGAGGCAAAAGTCGCGGCATTGTAACGGGTGTGGCTATCGAGGTCGATATCCAAGTGCTCCAAATTTGCCCCCGCCAAAATCTCGGCCTTTCGATGCATCCCACTGGATCATCACGCCCTCTCGATAATCTCCCAATCAACAGGCCCGTTTCCCCTCCCCATCACACCAAAAATAGGCTCATCCCGCCTGAGCACCGGGAGGCCGTCTGTTGGAAGACCTGCAGGGATTATTCAATCAGCTCAAAAATAACCGAGACGTTGTTGCAAGTGCTCGAGTGTTACAATGGTATGGTGCCTGCATTCTAATCCCGACATTCAGGACCCGATTGGTTGAGAGGGCGCTTGGATGGCGGAACCCTGGTCGTTGGTTGGGAGGGGGGGTTGGTCGTGCCTGAACGACAGTGTCTCGGAGGATGGTTGCGGTGCTGATAGCGCTCTGGCAGATTGGGGGTCAGAAATCCACTTCGATGTCTCGGGTCGGGAACGTCTTCAGGTGCAGCGCTCCTACAGCTGGGAGGTGCGGGGGTCTACTGTGAGATAGTGAGGTATGATAGCTCGCTCTCTTTCCATCCATAGAAACGTGATTCGTGAACCCTGCCAACTGGCTGCTGGCAATAGTACCCCAACCCTATTCCTATCTCGGGTTGTTCCGACTCTCCTCAACAGCCGTGGTGATGGCATTACTGATCCTCAAACTCCTAAAAAAAACTCACTGGTCTTGTGCTCGGGTTGTTTGCTTGTTGGTATCATAATGCGTAGATCGCCCTCCATGTGCTCGTAGAGGTAAATTTATACTCGCGAATCCGTCTGAATGGCCTGCATTGCCGTCCGCCTGATGGTCTATCTGGCTTGCGGGCCAGACATGGGCCAACTGCCGTCGGGTAGTACTCGTACCGGTACAGCGCTTGAGGCAGTAGAATACCGCCGGTGGGATTCCGTAGGCCTCGCTGGTTGGTGAGCTAGCGAAGATTATCCCGAGCCTGCTATACTGGAAAATTAGCCCCACACTCGATAAGGGCATGCTCGTGCCGTATGCTTGTACATAGGACGTAATGTGTTAACCTCCACTGTTGGGTTAGGCATGTTGAGGTGCGGGGGGACCAAATTGGCCGCATGGCATGGTACCGTAGGGTAACCCACTCAATCGCCGCGCTGGCCTCTTACCAATATATCCCAGAAGGAATACCTGCAATGCATGTCTGTGTGTCGCTAGGGACGTCGATTGGCTGGATTACGGATAGACAGCATTGGTTCAGCCATTTTCGGGCGGGTTGCGCCAATATTGTTGACCCCTCGGTGTTTGCTCATGGGTTGTGCTCGTATAGTACGAGCCTAGTAACGGAAGAGCCCCCCCCCGCAGGCTTTCCATACAAATTTCCGATCTTCAATTCGCTACCAGAGACAACCACAACAAGTTCTGTCCTTCAGGCTCCGGTGACATGAGGGGCATCCATATAGAGTTTAGCATTATGATTTTTTCAATTCTTACTGACATCCCCTAATACCGATACCACACTATGAAGTTGACCCATTTGATTGCTGTGCAAAATCCCATACAGATTGTCTGTCTTGCTGTGGATTTTTCACCTCCGGTCCAGAACCCATACTCCTAGATTCCGTGAAACAACCCCCGCAGCCCGACACCCAGCCACCGGTATGCGAATCTCTGGGCAAAACAATCTGTCGGAAAAAAATTTGCCCAATTTTTCTCAATATTTGTTGCTGGGTGGTGGTTTATTGGGGATCGGTGCTTGGTGTGGAGAACTGGGGGGGGGTGCGTTTCTCTTGTTACCAGGCTCGCGCTCGCACAGCATGACAAGAACCGGAACCGAGGACTTAATTGACCCTATGTGATCATTGTATGGTCGCCCGTGGTCAACACCCCTGGTTGGTAATGGTGCGTGTAGGTTCTCAGTGAATGTTTCTGCTCCAAAAGTGCAGCTACTCCCGCGAGGTTCTTCCCGAGTAGCACGGAATTAGGCAAATGTGTGAACTGCTGGCACTTATATCGATGGGCCGGAACTTCATGGAAGCGCTTTATTCGAGCCTCAGAATCTCTGATTCAATGGCAATATGGCACCATTGCGATTTTGGGTGGTCATTTCTCCCACCGTGAATATTGGCTTGCATAACGTTTGTGACACTGTTGGGGCTCAAAAGCTTGACGGCCAGAGAACGCCATTTGTGTGACCCTGGGGGCTCACGGTTCGGGGCTGCCGGTGGTGCGGTCCTGGGGAGGGCGCTCCTAGGTTGAAGTGTCTCGGTTGACTTCCGGGATTGGATGGTGTTTTTGGCCAGCCTTGTATATCGTGGAATGAGGTGATGGAGATAGACCTGTCCAACAACTATGTAGTGCGACCAATAGGGCAGAGGTAACGGGTGATGAAGCTGTACCCAACAGACTACTGGAGTATACGAGCATATACCGGTAGACGGAAGGCAGTGGTATCTATTGGTCCGCCAGGTGGTTGTCGCTCATGTCTAACTAGGAGGGGAAGGAGCGGGACTACTCGTACGATATCATACAAGTACTTGTACTGGTACTCGAGTACTAGTACAAGCACTTGTACCAAACTCGTACTGGAGATACGGCGTGCCGGGACGTCCCCCAAACGGGAAATTCCGTAGGGGGGGGAAAGCCCTATCAGACTAAACATGGCTACTGGCAACCAAACCCATAAATTTATAGTCTACCCCTCCACACCGGTATATCTCGTTAGACCCTTGTTGGGTGCCTGAGTAAACACAGAACTACCCGGCCTCAGATAAACTACTGAAGAAAGCGGAGGAATCGCGCTCTCTCCCTTTATGATATATAATATTTTGGCTCGCTTGATTATTATCTGGACTGTGCATATCGTGAGTATCGTGAATGTGTGCTCGTTAGAATCTGGTGCTGTGCTGTACTGTACGGTGCAGTGCCGTACACGTAGTCTGCAACGGTGCGGGGCACAAGTATGATGGCCTGAAGAGTTTTCGTGTCTTTTGTAAGTATCATGCCTTTGTCTGCACTTTCCTTCATATCCCTGGTTTCCAACCGCTGCAACCCCACCCACCACCCATATATCCCCCGCGACCAGGAGCCCATTAAGGCGTTTGATCATGGCTCCTCCCAACACCCCGACAACAATTTCTGAGCTACAGGACTTGATCAACTCGCACCCTATCATCGACAATCACGCCCACAATCTTCTCCGCGATGCAGTGTCAAGCTCTTCTCCCCTCGAATCTATAGTGACTGAAGCGTCTGGACTTGCTCTCAATGATGCCGCCCGCACCCTCGCGCACGCCCGTGCCGTCACCCAACTTTCCGGCTTGCTAGGCTGTGCCCCGACTTGGGAAGCCATCAAGGACAAGCGCAGAACAATCGATTATGAAGCATGGGCTAGGAAATGTCTTTCGGGGACCCAATGTCTACTCATAGACGATGGGTTAGATGCGGAAGGTGTGCATCCTTACGATTGGCATGACCGCTACACCTCGTCACCTTCGAAGCGTCTTGTTCGTGTTGAGACGCTTGCTGAACAGGCGCTTCGCAAATTTGCGCCTGACTTCAAAGAAGGCGAAAACGGCAATCCGCTGGAAGGGGATTTTGATTACGGAGCAGAAGCGGAGCTGTTCAATCGATGGGCCGAACGGTTTGCCGGATTGATCAATGCTGCCGTTCAAGACCCAGCGGTTGCGGGATTCAAGTCCATTATTTGTTATCGGAGCGGGCTCGATATCGCCAGTGAAACAACAGGGGGGTTGCTTTTGGATGCCTTAAAAAAAGCCTTGCGGGGTGCTAGAAGGGACGGTGGGCGATATAAGATTCGTGATAAAATTTTAGGAGATTTTCTGGTGTGCGAGGTTGCTAGAATCATCACAAAGAGTGGATCTTGGAAGCCCTTGCAGTTCCACACGGGATTGGGAGACAATGATCTCAGTATTAGGAAGGCCAACCCTGCGTGCGTGCCTCCCGCTTTGTGCAGCGAATTCTCATGACTGATTGTTTAGCTATTTGCAAGATTTTATCAAGGAGAACCCGCATGTCCCGATCGTCCTATTGCACTCTTCCTATCCATTTACACGTGAAGCTGGCTACCTTGCCTCCGTGTATAAGAATGTATATCTCGATATTGGGGAGGTCTTTCCCATGATTTCTAAAAGTGGGCAAAAATCTGTTCTCAAACAGTGTCTAGAGTGCACACCTGGCAATAAACTTCTCTGGAGCACGGACGGCCATTGGTTCCCCGAGGGGTTTGCCCTGGCAAATATGCAGATACGTGAAGTGTTAGGTGAGGTGTGTATTTCCCGCACTTTATTGGGAGGCGTTCGTGTCGTGTTCTCACGTGTCGCCATTTCTTAAACAGGTTCTTTCAAAATGCGTAGCCAAGGGTCAGTTGACTGTGCCCCAGGCTGCGGATTTTGTTAAAGACCTGCTCTTCGAGAACTCCAATCGGCTCTACAAGCTCGGCCTCGTTCCAATCTTCACTCCTACCATTAATTCTGTCGGTCACTCACTCCCGGTTAACCGGGAGATGCAAATGCTCTCTGAATTTCTCCACAGGAATCCTCACGTTAAATACTTTCGTTTGCAATGGGTGGATTATACCAACACTCTTCGTCTCCGGCTTGTGACTCTAGCACACATGGACAAGATGGTTTCAGAGGGCACTGTTCTGACAGTGACGAGAGCTGTCCTATCGCTCCTGCAAGATGATGCCCCAACAGATGATTTCACCCCCACTGGAAGATATAATCTTGTCCCGGATTGGTCGAGCTTGAGGATTTGTCCTGGGGATTCTGATGATCCAGAGGATGCCTCTAAACACGCGAGTATGATGTGCTACTTCAGGGACAATAAGGAAGAGGTGGATACCTGTCCGCGTACTATACTTTCCCGAGCCGTTCAACGGGCTAGAGAAGAACACAAAGTGGGCTTCCTCATCGGATGGGAAACCGAGGTGGTCTTCCTTAATAAGTTCGATCTCGGGACTGCCGACAAAGCGCACGCCTGGAGCACTGCTCGATCCCTCCAAAATCGCTGCCTCAAAGCTCTTGAACAAATAGTTGATGCGCTCGAAGCATCTGGTATAGAAGTCCTCCTATTCCACCCCGAGAGTGCTCCGTCTCAATACGAGATTGTTACGGGTCCACTTCCACCTCTTGAATCTATCGATGCACTCTACCATACTCGCGAGACAATTGCGCGCATTTGTTCCCACCACAACCTCCGTGCTACACTTCATCCGAAGCCCTTCAAAGACGCCGCCGGCACTGCTGCGCACATGCATATGTCGATAACGCCGCCCTCAGAGCCCCTCCAGAGTGCTTTCTTTGCAGGCGTGCTATCCCACCTCGGACCTCTAGCAGCATTGACTCTACCACAACCGGCCAGCTATGAGAGGCTTAGGGATAGCTGCTGGTCGGGGGGCACTTGGATTGCTTGGGGGGAGGAAAATAGGGAAGTTCCCTTGAGGCGCGTGAACATAGAGGAAGCTCATTGGGAAATTCGGTGTATTGATGGACTTGCGAATGCTTATCTCGCCGCCGCCGGGGTCATCTCGGCCGGATGTTTGGGCATACTGGACGGAATAAGATTGCCTGGCGAGAGCTGTAACTGTAGTATCCCCTCCGCCCTTTCCCTACTTCTTTATCCATCACAGGAATACTAATAATCCTAGCTGACCCATCCAAAATGGAATCTTGGGAACGTAACGGTTTAGGGATCACCGAGCAGCTCCCTGATGGGATTGGCAAAGCGATGGACCTTCTAAGAGTCGACAAAAAGTTGAAGGCTCGGATCGGTGAGGCGTGCATGGCGAAGTACATCATACTGAAGAAGAACGAAATTGCGGCCCTTGAAGCAAAATCTTCTGTACGGGAGTGGATTATCGATAGATACTAGATGGGTTGGGAAGCTGTAGTTTTTTTCCAAGGGAATTTTATACCAACTTGAATGTTTAGTGCGATCAGTATTCTACCACGGGGGCTCTGGGACGGGGTCTCGATTTCTAGTAGCTATTTCGCTATGGTTCTTGTTTTTTTGGCTTTGGCTTTGGCGGGTACCAGTTCCATAGACTGCGGTTGCTCACGAGTTCGTGGTCTTCCATCACCTACTGCTCGCAATGCCCTGAACAAGATTAACATAAGTTAGGGATATTGTAGTGCCCCCATGCTCTTTGTATTCAGACCCAAGCACGAGTAGCTTTTGGGTGCATAGCGGAGTGCCCACAGGACTAGATTAAGCGCCTGGATGAAGCGAAGGTTTGTTGAATAAGAAGATCTGGGGAGGATGGTATTTGCGAAATTGTGCATGTCTATCATTTCCTTGGCACTGAGAACACCCTCTATTGGTAAGGACTCGTCCGGAAAGCTCCTACGCCCCTCCAAGCACTTGTAGCCCTTGGAAACGTTTCACTAGCTCCCTCTATCTATTTTTTTGTAGGAAAAAAGTCGTGATAAATATTTACTGTGCCCCGAGAGACATACCCGAATACGATCACCTAAAATGCTCCTGTTATGTTGATAAACATCGCTCTTGGGATACAAGGAAGGGCATGAGAACCTTACAGGCATGGCTGCGCTCGCAGATGTTAATCACATATCCAATTGCTATCTGCTTGCAGCATACGACCATCCCTATCCCGCTTCTTAAAATAATCTACGGGTAAAAAGACTGCCGCACTCAAAAAATGCTCTGTTATATCTCGATTCGTAATTTGTCACCCTTTATTAGTAGAAATTGTACTCAGTGAAGGGGGGGGGGGGGTCTAACCGGCATGGAAGTTCTGCAGCAGGAGAGGTCCGGATCCAGGGGTGTTTCGCCACTGCCAGTGAGCCGTCCTTTCTGTCGGTTCCATTCGGGTAGTGGTTTCCCGGCGAAGAACGGGTATCCCTTCATCGTTGGTCACTCGTGTGTTGGCTGGTGAGCGTACTGTACCTAACTTAGATGCGGTTTTGAACAATACGATAGGCTGGGCTTTAGTAAGGATCGCAATGGCAGCAAGTATCATACTCGTATTGGCACTTGGGTGTATAGCTCCCTGGGCCCTGAGATTCGTTTTGCGGAGGCTCTATGCGAGGTCCAATAAAGAATCATCATGCTTGGGAAGGACCTCCTTTTCGGAACCTGGAGCCCCCAGAAATCTGTGTTAAGGGTGTCAGGAGGTTTTGAATACTACTTATTATAGGGGGTGCCTGTTTGTTCCCAATGATTCGTGATATTCCCCTTTCCGTACTAGTAACAACCGCGAGAGAATTGATAATCCTGCTAGGACGTTAGAGATACACTGCTCCTAGTAAGGTCTATTGTACTATTTTCTTCTAATTCGTCTCAACAGGGGGGGGGGGGGATGAGACTCCTCTCCCTGTCCCTCGCGTTATTCCAAAGAGGGAAATTCTGGACGTCCTGGCGCCATTCCCGATCGCTGATATGATATGATACTTCTATTCTGCACGTATAGCTTCCGGGGCACCTTCCCTTAACCTTAGTCTGCGACGCGGAAAGACAACGCGCAGGCGGCGGAAGTGAATGCGGTACTGCCGGTACAGTACAGTACCGCGAAAGAATCATCCGACCTTTGATAAAGTATGATACCAGTGCTACCTTTTTTTTTTCTTTTTTTTCACAATCTCTTTTGTCTTTTTTTTCCCCTCTACAGCTAGGATTCTTCCTATGGCACGGCACTATGTCGTCCTTGATCTATTTCTGCCCCGTTCGCTCCGAAGATAGGCCAAGCCGAGAGTTGATCGCTTTTCGCTGGGAAAGATCCTTTACTACATTTTTTTCTCCTTAGGAATTGTTCGTACATTGGATGGCCGGAAGTGGTTATCACGGCTGTCGTAGTCAAGCTCGATACCGGTAGTACTTTTCTGTCCGTTGGCTCATCCCTTCTCGATAAGGAGGTCACCTGCACTGAGCGGTGTCCTGGGTGGCTATCTCATAACTATCACTTTTGGGTGGTGAGTCCAACTAAGCACCACGTTATGCAACACGAAAGCCATTTTCCCATACGTACGGGAATGGCGTGTATCATACAATTGCCTCCGTCGTTCCATCAGTCGGCGTCTGGTTTTCCTTCCTCTCACTCTCCCCGCCCCCTCGCAGCTGGCACCTCAATCACCACCATCTCTCACACACCCTCCAACTACAGCTTGATATACAATCTAAAGCATACATTATTCACCCTAATTACGCCCGGATAGCTACACCGTATACACCTGTCAGCGGCAATCCCACCCCCAAACTACCAGAGAGCTCCTCTCCGGGCTCTCCCCCAGCTACCCGCAACCAGACAGGGCCAACCATGTCCTGCTCACTAGACCTCTCCAAAGTGGCTCCGACACCATGTCTCCTCCCCGCATGGCCACTAGCTTATTCAGCCCGGAAGGTGCTAACGCATCGGTACACATTCGCGGGTGCATCCCTCCTAGAGGGAGAAGTAAGCCCACTGCGAGCTGCGATTGCTAGCTGGCTGTGCGACTACTACGCATCTTATGGGGGGATGGTTGATGAGACGAGGATTGCGGTGACGGCGGGCGAAGTGGAGGGTGCCTTGGCCGCAATTCTAGCAAGGTTCACGGACCCCGTATATACCAGGACGGTCTGGGTGGTTTTACCTGCCGAGGTGGGGTGGTTGGAGGGCATTGTTGGGGATGCAGGGCTCGACGGAAAGCTTAGGACTTTACCTGAAGGTAGCAATGGTGAAGGAATCGATATGGAGATATTTGAGGACAGGCTTCGGGACGAAGAGGATTGGTTTGGCTTGATGGAGGACCCTGGGCCGGTTTGTGGCACACCCCGAGATAACTGAAAGTAAAGTGCTGATAACAAGTATTGATGATTGTGAGAGAAGTAGGGTTTCAAGGAAGGAGATAGATATCCGAAGATATACAAGTCAATTCTCTTCCTACAGCCTACTTTTAAGAACCCTACCGGCTCTACGATACCCTTATCTGCTCGTACTCGGCTATTAGAGCTAGCGCGCCAGTACGATTTTCTCATTGTTGCGGAAGAAGATTTTGATTTTCTAAGGTGGGGGGAAGGGAGCATAGGGCCTCCAATACCTCGTCTTTGCGATGTTGATAGAGTTATGATGGGTGACACCGGCGGGTTTGGGAACGCAATTAGCTGTGGAAGTTTTGGTAGGATGATCGCACCGGGATGTGGAGTTGGCTGGATTGAAGGTCCCAGGCGTTTTGTCGAGGAATTTGGGAAGACGTGAGCTTATTTATCCGAATTATTCCGATAGTTTGGAGACTAGATATTCTAACCATGACAGAAATTCGGCGACGGCCTCGAAGCTCATGGGGGCGATTGTGCGGAATTTGCTAAGTGCTGGAGCTTTCGAGTCGCATCTTTCCGATGTGTTGATACCAGTATACCAAAGACGGCACTCAGCGGTTGTTTGCGCCGTAGAGACGTCTCTGGCGCCACTTGGCGTAAATATTATCACTGACACAAGCCGTAACTCTGGTGGTTGGTTTCTCTGGATACAATTACCAAAGGGCTGCCGTGCGAGCTTTCTAGAGCGCCTCGAAGACGACTATAATGTTATCCTTTCTGGTGGGAACGAGTTTGGGGTGGGTTTAGAGAATTTTGTTAGACTTTGCTTTGCCTGGGAATCTGAACAGGCGCTTCTTGAATCTGTGAAAAGAATAGCAATGTGTTTGCGAGATATCGAGCCCGACATTCTGCTCGGTGAATCGATATGAGGGGCCTTTGCCCAGAGCAGCCGTTTTTACCTGTGGCTCCGACCTGCCCGGAGACGGCGCTGGATTGATATGGAGACAGGTGGGGAGCTTATCATTTGTTTACACGAGCCTGGTAGAGTTTGATGCTGTATCTTAATGTTTTGTTCCTGCCGAGAAGTTAGTATTTGTAATACAGTAGTATTTCTTGGGTTCCGGGAAAGAGCTACCTACAAGCCCGTTCGAGGCATGGAACCTCCGGCATAGCTGCTTGAAGCAGGGGTGTACTGCCCAATCCCTCCGAGATCGGGCATACCTGCCTCGATCGATCAAACCCTATTGACGGAGGTTGGGATTTGTATCGGATTCCTGCCCGCTCATTCGCAATTTATTCCTCGGGAATGTCGCCAGGACCGACCAGTGTCCACTCAATTCTTGACAACCCAGGCCCTGTCCAACATCATAAATGCAAAACCCATCAGTAGCGAATCGACACTCCATCCCCCAACACCATAAATATACTCCCCCGACTAGTCGATTGCGCCCTCAACTCGCGACACAGCTCTCCTGCATTACCGGTAGTATCTAGTATAGTAGGGATTCAAAGGTTTCCGAATGAGATCCGGTATGATAGTAAGGAAGTGCCTTAGCGCCACGGGGCCTATCATACGTGTGGGAATCCGGTTGCTAGTCTTGTTTGGAGACTTCTGGAACTGTAAAATAAATTACCTAGAGGTGCCACCTATCCCACGGTTTCCATAAATACGGTGCAAACCAGTCAGAATACCACGTTACCCCGCGCGCAATGCCCAGCCTCGCGGAACTAGATTTATCGGGGTTTGGCTATCGGAATGGCAGCCACGACGGCCTCGAGGCGTAAGGGAATCTTATTTCTACAACGAGATTTATAAGACGATTCAAGGGGCCCGGTGGGAGAACCGGTTGGCCTCGAAGTTGGCTAGACCTTCAATTTGCGAGGTGCCTTCTATACCAGGTCAATGGTGGTGGTGGTGGTGGTGAATGTTTGATACTAATATCTTACAGAAGCTAGTAGTCCACCCCGCCATGGAAAAGTATCATACCCTTCCGGATGGAAAAGCCATCGCTGAGAGATACCGTGCTGAACACAGCGAAGTTACTTCCCACTTTCCTCATCCTCCACCTCACAACCTGTGCCAAACCGTATGGCTCAGGATCCAGTTAAAGGGGTTTCAAAAAATGCTTCCCTCATACCCGGACTTCCGGAAGAATAGAGAGTTATCTAGCGCACCCTCTCCTAGAACATCAAGAGGGAGGAGGCCACAGACCCGCCAGCGCACGAGGAGGGAGGGACTGCAGGTTCCGTACGTGTAGGGCAGCAGCGAGAGTTAACCAGGGGGCGCCAAGTTTCGGGATTGGAAATGCATAGGAACGCGCTTTCGTTCATGGGATGTCACTCGAGAGCATTGGGTTGCAATGTAGCAGATTGATTACGACTCCTCGGACATACAGCCCAAGTCAAGGAATTGAAAATGCTCCTAAATAATCCGGAGGCGCCACACTTGTCTCTGCACTTCCTTGATAGAGTTAGAGTAGAGTATCTCTACCACTCAAGAATGAACGAATGACTATGCTCCTGCGCCAAGGTTTGGCCTGGAAATTTATGTTTGGAGTGCAGTGCCGGTGCCGTAAATTGATGTCATGATAGAAGGTTTAACGGAATTCCAAGTAATTAAGGTTGAAACCCCATGCACTTTGTCCGAACGAAATCCTAGCGAAACATCTCGGGGAGCTATCATACCCCATGGGTCATGCCAATATCATAACCAGCTACTGTAAAAACATCCACAAAAGGAGCTTAACTAGGATTCTCAATTCCTAGGGATCGTTAAGTTAGGGTATCAACGCTGTGACGAGGTTGGTATGATATGAGAATAGAACTCCAAGTGCTAGGATATCCGCATGTTTAATTCGAAGGGTTATATCGTAAAGGATTTTGGATTTTGGATAATTGGTATTCTTATACTCTATCCACGTGGTGTAGAATTTGGAAATAGGATTCTACGACGAAATAGTCCTGTTTTTTTTTCCCAAGGGGAGGGGTAAACAAGGTCCATTGGATTTGATCCGGTGCATAGAAGAGACGGATTACATATCTACCATGTAGACCCTTCCGAACCAGCTAACGCCATCAATAAAAAAAAAGTTACTAGAAAATGGTCTGCTTTCACGAAAGTACTAGAAATTGTAGCGGACCCTAAGGAGAGGCCTATACTGATTTCATTGATCAACACCTCCTTAGCGCGCTGACTCAACTATTGCTACCGGTGTCAACATGGGCTCCATTGGGGCGGATACCGAGTACCAGAGCACATAGAATCCCGTCCTTGCTCCAAGCAGTCCCCAGTATAATACGATAGATCATCTACACCCCGGAATACCCCCGCTGACTCACTCCTAAGGATCCTCACGAGGGAGCCTGCGAGATTCTCATCAAGTGCCATGTTGAAGGGGACTAGGGATCCGGAGTGGCCGCGCTTAGGTACGCACAAGCTAGTGCTATGACATGTCGGCAACACCTCACCACCACCTGTAATCGTCATGCCACTGTTCTTGCCCTTTGCCTTGGAGCCTTCACTCAATGATCTGGAAACAACGCCCCGCCTCTCTGCCCCAACAGGATTTAAGTGTAAGTCTGGATCAGGGACGCACAACAACAAAATCGAGGTTTTCTCTGAACATGCGAAGTTAGTCTTTTTGTTAATAGCCCCTTTCCTGGCTCTTACTATCATGTAGCTCGGGCATCCAGGCATGTCCCTATCTTGTATCACCGGGATACATCCGTGCCTATATCCCTTTGACAGTTTCTTCAGCTCAACATCCCCAGACCGGAAGTAATGCGCCCGAAATGGTTACCAGGACTTCCACCTTTTTCTGCCGACCATTCCACAATATAGGTTTCAACGCTCTCCCTTATAGTAAGCTCTGCTCAGTTCTTTATCCTGAGCTATGCCGACCAATTTTGCCCACCCGGTCGAAATTTTTCCATATGATACTCCCCGAAGCTTCGGGTGCACCCTCGAGTTGGCTTACCGCAACACTCCCCCCCTCCTGCTCGCGCATAATGCGAAATTAACTCAAACATAAACAGCGCTCGAGGGAGATGGTGCTACGAACGAAACTGCGGTCAGAACCGAGAAGCAGGTCATCTGGCAAACGCACCGTGAGGTCGTAGGAGTGGACAGCACCAACAAGGCCGGTGTCTAAAGATGTACCTTAAATAAGCGAGACGGAAGTTATTCTTTCCGGAGGTTTCAGTGGTTCCGGGAAGGCGTCGTTTTTGTTCGAGGGTAGTTACAAACAATGTCAGTTTATATCCAAAGGAGCTTTTTTTTTTTTTCAGACCCTCTTCGTCAGCTCAAGAATCCGAGTGATCAGGTGTGATATTACTCATATTTGTGAACAGCTGAGCACATGTGACTCGTGTAATCCGTGATTTCTCTTATTACACGAGATACCAGCTTGTGCCAAGATTCCATTTTCCCCAGGGAGCCGCTGTCCAATTCCGGGCTCTGTTTTTGCGAGCCCGGTTTGCGCTATCCCCGGCACCGGGGAAAATTGCCAAGCCAACAGATGCAATTCAATATATCGTACAAAATTACTCGAAGCTGCAACATACCCGGCTAAAGAGGGACCGGGGTAGCCCATCCTTAGGCTATGGTTTATCGAAAGTGTGAAATACTTCGTGGGAAGCCTTACATGCTAACATTTCACAATAGGGGCAGTTATTTCAGTAGCTATAGTCCAGGTAATAGGGGTACTTTATAGTTTGCGGGGCCGAATACAGACACAATATCTGTAAAGCCGTTTCTGTTTTTATATCGTATATGGAGATTAATGGTGTTGCGCTGCACGAACCTTTTACTGGTCCGGCCATAACTAACTACTATGAGGGTGTCGGGCTTCAATTCGGCCCCCGCGAGTACCGGTTCACGGAAACAACCCAGCCATAGGAGTGGAGCACTCCGAGGGTAAAACACACAGCCTGTGTCCCACGCGGCACTCACGTCTGCTCGCACCTTTCTCCCCTTTGATGCCCGGCAGACCAGCCCACCCTGTAAAACTAAGCAGCGTTTTGCCACTACAAGTAACACCCCGTTGGGCATGAGCTAAGCATCCAGCCTAGCTAGGAAAAACCGCCGGAAGCGGGAATATCAACTTGGTTAGTCCTGGTGGTGTGGTTTGCTTATACGAATGCAAGATCACTAGATGGCAATACTCCAAATCCGGTATACAAAATGAATATCAGTGACAAGGGAGGTGGGTTTTTACCACTTCTGATGGCACCGACTATCTAAACTAGCACCCAACGGAGAGGACCTCCGAGCCATTTAGTCGGCCGAACTTGAGTACCTTCACATTTATAGGCTAAAGTTGTGCTAGGGATCTACTTTTCTAGATCATTTCTGTTCTTTGGCGAAGTAAATAACCAGTCCCCAGCCGCCTGTGTAAGGGGGACTAGCGCTAGCAGGCACTAGGTAGGCAGATAGCTGGTAATACGCTCTCGTATCCCTTTCCTGCCCGCTGCTGCTAAGTACTTTTACGGTCTTGGTTTTCTCCTCCAAAAAGGCTGTTGGAAATGGCAGTTGATGGCCGCACTTGGTGCGGGATGTGCTCACACATGGAGGCATCAGTAGTATATGTCTGTACCCCTGAAAGACGCGTAAGCCATGAAAGCTTTTCTCATCCCTGTCTTTTCTTCCCTTCTGTTCTCTCTTACGAGACAACCACTTCCTGTACTTTACCTTTCTCCTTAGTCTAAGTTCTTCCTCTCAGTCATCTCTAAGCAATCAATCATGGTCTTCCTCTTCCCTTGAGTAAAACCTCGTATCTCCACCCGCACGATTCTACTCCACTGTGTAAACCCTCACCACCGATCATTACCTCCATATCAATCATTTTTCAACAAATGCGGAGGAGGGTTGCACGAGTGATGCGTTATGACAACATGTACTGTAGCTAGACCACCGAAACATAATACAGTACCGCTCCAGCACAGCAACCGACATGATAACCGAGATGTCGATTTTCCGTTGGGGTGGGCATCGAGTAAAGCACACGCACCGGTACGCACCGTACCAAGCAGAGTTTTGTTGACATACTCATACCGGAACAAAAGACAATACTCTACTCGAGTACTTGTACCGTAAAGTACCGCCATCCAATAAATATGCATGCCCAACCCTGACTGCGTTCAACCATGGATTGCGTAGCAAGGGCTCTCGACTGGGTTGGATAAACCGCAGATCAAAAGCAGGACTTGCTCACCATCATGACATCCGTTGTATGTACGAGTACAGTAACTGTACGAGCACCAGTCTCCCAAGACAGGTATTATGATACCGTTGCCACCAATAGCCCAGCACCCCACACCCACAGGTTGCACTTCAATACAGTAGTGCACCCATAATACCGTAATGCTTACAATATACCCGCACAATCCGCATCACAGCCCCAAACAAGTCGGATAGCACAACGTAACCCCCCCTCCCCCCAATTATCGATGCCCGTAATATCACCAACCCCCCACTCCACAGCGCTGTGGAACAGGTCGACGGCCTAGAGGTACAGTACAGTGCACTACGACCGATTGCGTTGGCAACTCCGGCGACTCGGCCAATGGGTCCCCTATCCTGCATTTGCGCTCTGTGGAGCATTTGTACGGTACCGGTACACGCTCCGCAGCAATCCCCGAGGAAGAACGCTCCTCACAACACCTTACCGGCGTACTAGTACATAGCGCCCCACCATGGTTATCCAAGCGTGATACCGATATCAAGCACTCGTAGTCTACTCGAGCAACGGATAAGCACGGATAATGGCACGCCATGATAAATTTAAAATCCCATCATTACCACACAGAATATGGTCTCAGATGAACCCTCTCCGGCGGATCAGCCCGTCGCACAAATGCCTTATTCGAAAAGAAAAAAGAAAAAAATTTCAATAATCAATAATCAAAAATCAAATTGCTGCGCAGCACCACACCACACCATACATGACATTGCGTGGGATCGATTCCCCACGAGTTTCCTGCTGGTACGAGTACTGTACTGTGGGCCCATGACAACGGCTGGTTGGGGACATGCGACGTACCGTGCTGTACTAGCACTGTACAGTGCGGTAAATTGCCCCGCATAAAGCTATTGCGAGAAGTTCCTCTCCGCTTTTTTCTTTTGGGGGGGGGGGGAAGGGGTGAGGGAGATGGCATATGGGACCACCGGTATGGTACGATATCATACAAGTATGATAACTCTCCTTGCGCTCAACGTGAGCTTTTTTTTTCCCATAATTTGAATCTAGGGGATTGGGTTCATCACGAGTGTGCTGTAGACTAAGGGTTAGTCTACCGGTATCATACAGAAATATAGCTCCCTCCACAACACTACTCATGCAAACAATTCATCCCGACATAATTTATGATATTAATACCCTTTCTCTCTCTCTCTTTCCCTCTG